GTTCCCCTCCACTGCTCTGTCAGTTGTTCTCAGCTTGTTCTCACATGCTCCTTAGAGTTGGCTGACTGGCCCTTCCCCAGACCTTAAAATAGGAAGACATATCCTGGTCCTAACCCAGGAAGCTTGAAGGTGACATCATTTGGGGAAAGAGTCTTACATGTATTGTAAAGTTCCTTCCTCTGGTGTGAAAGAAAAAGGGGAGAGAAGTAAAGAAATCCTTCATTGTTTGGAGTGGGAGGGCTGCCAAAGAGAAATGAGGACACCCAGTGGAGGGAGCCAGGAGTGGGGGTTATCAGGTTGGACTAGAGGTGGACTCTCCATGGGCATTATGGTGTCATAGCAGGCGCTGACTGCGGAAGGCTTGGTGCAAGTGCAAAACAAAAGAGGAAGTACAAGGCTAACCAGGGGAAGATGCCAGAGGGTGGTCTAGGAGTGGCTCATCACTGGTCTTGGGTCCCCATGCCATGCTGACTCGCCACCATGACTACCCAGCAGGCTTTCATACAGGCATGGACCCATCATATACAACTAACAGATCTCAGAAGGAGATCGTGCAGGGTTATCCACAAGATTCTTAAACCCAATAACACATGTCAGTACACAAAGGAAAAGACCTAGACACAGAGAAGACTGTGTGTGACAGACAGGGATTGAAGTCGTGCAGCCACAGGTCGAGGAATCCTGGGAGCCACAAGAAGCCAAAAAAAGCACGGAAGGATTCTGAAGCCTTTGAAGAGTCTTGACCAGCTCTTGATTTCTGGCCTCCAAAACTGAATATAAACACCATTATTTTCAGCTACCAAGTTTTGGGGAGTTGCTGCAGCAGTCCAAGGAAGGGCACCTGCTCCTCAGTACGTGACCTTGTTTCTTTCTGGAAGAATGAAAGTAGCCCAAGGGGTGCAGGAGTAGCTTGCAGCTACTGGACTGGCTGGCAGCCTGGGCCTGCCTGCCGGATCCTTGCTGAGCCCCCTTGCCTGTTCCTTCCGCTGAGATGCTGCGATGCCCTCCCTGACGAAGCCCTGCCTGATGGGACGCAAAATGCGGGAGCCTCGCAGGCACCTCGTGTGCCCACACTGTGCACTGTGGTTTTGGTCCTCTATTTCATATTTGCAGAGATGTTCAAGGCAGTCAGATAGTAAACTGGGGGCCAAATCTGTTTCCTTCTCTATGTTTGCAGGTAAAAATTTAATTGAAACACAGTTGCTACAGATCCTAGATGGCCACAAAACCTAAACTGTTTGCTATCTGGTCCTAAAGGAAAAGCTTACTGACTCCTGTTCAGATAAAAGTCAAAGACCCAGATTTCTTGCTTGGAGCTCTAGAGAAAAATCTGACAGGTTGTCCATGCTCCGACCACAAAGCCATCAGTTGATGGACTCTGTTCCCTGTGCCTCAGGACTTTACTCTGAGCCAAAGATGTGCCGGGCATAAGGGAAGTTCCAGTGAGAAAGAATTTGCATCTTTGGAGGCTGTCAACAAGTGGATCACTGTGAGTCCGATCTAGTAGTAAGACCCTGAACACCCTCTAGACCTTCCCTAAAAAACAAAAAAAAAAAAGAAA